ATGAATTGGTTGGGGGGGGCTTGAGCAGAATTCTAAAGTGAGACCCAGCCTCACCGTTTGGAGGACCCAGGCGTCCATCGTGGACGACTCCCATTGGCCTTGGAAGTGATAAAGACGACCACCAATGGGAACAAGTTGACTGTCACTTGCCTCTTCTGAAGGGCCTGTTGCCCGTTCCTCTGAAAGGACGCTTGGCAGGTGGTTGACGCCTACCCCGGTCCCAAAAGGTAGACCTGTCAGAAGATCTGTCGAATCCCTGGGAATATGGATGGCTGGTATAAGACCCGCTGGGTCCGGTCTCAGTTCGAAAGGGCTGCCTTTGAGAATAAGGTGTATACCGGTGATCGGCCTGTCTGTACAAAGAAGGCATGACTTTATGCTTATCTTTGTCTTCCACCAGTATTGGGTCCAACATTTCGCCAAATAGGTTGGACCCTTTGTATCGAGCTCATGCCAGCTTCCACTTGGATTTTTTTTAAAAAAAAATTAAAAACAAACTTTATTAAACATATAAAAGCAAAATACTACATCATGTGTACACAAAACACATCTATATCAATATAAACAACACTACATAAAAAGAAAAGGTGACTTTAGTCACATATCTGTTATCTTATTGACGGTCGTTCCACTTGGATTTTATATCCACCCTCCAATGGCATAACCACAGGAGGCGGCATGAAGTCACTGTTGAAGTTAGAGCTCGGGAAGCGAACATCACTGTGCCCAATGATGCATCCGCAGAGTACTCTGTGGCCGCCACCAACTTATTTATGTCTTGGTGGAGCCTCGTGTCTTTAGGAGGGAGATGGTCCTGCAGCTGTAGCCAAATCAACGATACACAATTAAAGGAGGACGCCAATGTCGCGGCTTTAATAGCCCAAGCGGCTGCCTGATGTGATTTGCGGAAGGCGAGTTCCACCTTCCTGTCCTCCGTCCAAAGGCCATCCGCGATGATGTTGGATAACACAGTGGAGAGGTCAACTGTGCCACAGGGGCATCCACTGAAGGCAGCTGAAGCAACTCCTGGAGATTAGAAGCTGAACAGTAAAGTTTCTTGTCCAAGCCGTTCGGTGTGGCTAAGGAACCTGGAGTGCCCACCGGCATTGAACCACTTCGGAGAAGAGTTTTTGACAGGGTATAAAGTCCTGTTCCGCTTTTGGAACTGTAAACAGCTCATCATGCAGCCAAGCAGTATCGTGAGCGTCAGACTGGCCATCTGAAGATGCCAGATTAGTCGTAACTTTCACCTTATGCAATAAGGACTTAAAAAGGGATAGACAGAAAAGCCTTATAAGGGGTGGCCTGTCCGGTAAGAGGCCTTTGTCGTCTGAGAACTCCATGTCTCTTTGTTCGTCCTCATCCCCAAAGGAGTCCTCATTATGGAGTGAGTCCTGCTGGGATAAGTAGTCCCGATGATGGTCCACGTGCGGTGGGTCATGCGAATGACAGGCTGCCTGTGCACCAGAGAAGGGAGCGCCATGATGAGCTCCAGCCGCTATAAATCTGGATATTGTCTCTGTAACCAGGGTCTGGATGTCGATGAGGAGACCCGGCTGAACACCCTCACCTGTGCGCAGGCCTGCGGCAGTGGGTGTAAATGTCGCCTCTGGAGTGGCGCGCCTTGCAGGTGGATGGGCAGAAGAAGCCGCCCCTGAACGAACCGGCATAGGCGCAGGGTCCGTTTGAGAGCCTATCACATCAGCTTGCAGTGGGGCAATCTCTCCTGGATCTAGACTCCAAGGTTCTCCAGGCAAGGTCTGAGGGTCTATGTTGGAACCCGGGGCCAATGTTTCAGATGTTGCCAACCGCTGATGGCCAGAGGTCTGTGCCTTTTGCTGAGCCAAGGCGAATTGTCTTTCCAAGGCCTTGTGTCTCCACTGTGCATCCTTGTCAGTGGTAGACAGCTGCTTGGAGGCCCGGGAACGAGAAGGCCTATCCACGGTAGAGGCAAGTTTAATGCATTTTTTTGTTCCCTTGGGCACAAGCTTTGTGTGCGAAGGGGACTTGGGGGTGCTATATGACTGTTCAAGGTCCAATGACAGTTCCGAGTCAGCCATGGTATGAATCAGATTGACGCTGGAGAAATATGATTACTCCTAATGAGTTCTGAATTCCTTTTATTATAAATTTTATTTTTATTGGTTTTATTAATATCTATCTATCTATCTATCTATCTATCTATCTATCTATCTATCTATCTATATCTATATCTCTATATCTATATCTATATCTATATCTATATCTATATCTATCTATATATATATATATATAGTGTGTGAGGGGATGGTAGGGTGCACAAAAAAAAACATTCTCAGTTCTGTCATCGACTAAAACCCCTCTCGATAAGGCAGGCGATAATACGATGACCATGCCTGATTGACAGCAAATGATCCAGGTGGACAGCGGCCGTGGATTAAATACCGGTTGACAATGCGCTGAAGAGAGAGATATCTTCAAGCGCTGCTTCGCAAATGCCCCCAAGTAACGACAGGAACAAAGCCCGTTCCTCCATGTCGACGTGGCTCTGGTCTGCTGTAGAAGTTCGGCGCGAATATAAAGTCCTCAGTGCCTCCGCAGCCATTCTCCTAAATTCCAAAATGCCACGGCGTGCGAGTATTTCAAGTTATTCCAAGTGCAGCGAAGCCAAATTAATAACATAGAGTATGCCCAGAAACCTGGCAGGGACTCTGGAGCCGCCCCAGATGAGAGAGGAGCTGTAAGATGGTGGCGGTTGTGCTGGCAAGCCGGGGAACCAGCACACACACTGGCGGCAATCGCAAGGGGACAGAGATGGCCCAAAGGGACAGAGCTCCGCAAATGGCTGCCTCAATCAATCCTAGGCAGGGGGAGCCGGCCTGGAGCCCCAGGGGTGACTCACCCATCACCGGCAGCAGAAGAGGAAGCGATTTCTCAGCAGAGATAACGATCATGGTCCACAACAAATACCTCCTCAACTTGAACGAAACAGATGGCTCCTCAGAAATATAGATGAAGAATCCAAAGCGTGTAAACCAATGTCAATTTGCCAGAGCAAATCTAAAAACAGTCTCTTCAGCTCGACTGAATGAATAAACTGAACCACAGACGAGCACAGGAGGCGTGACTAAGAAATTTAAAGGAATACACAGTCAGTCTCTGGCTAATGGACAGTGATTAACCCATGCTTTGGATTCTCCAAGCAGCACGCTGGAGAATTTCAGCTTTCTTATCAATAATCAAGAGTAGCCCTTTGGCAATACTTTAACTAAAGGTAGTGTTCCACTTATGATGACTCATTTATCAGCAGTTTGAAGTTCTGCCAGACTTTCCCAGGGCTACTTATGATGTGTAGTCAAAGCTCCAACAGATGTTCTTCCCTTCCCCCCACATTGTGGCTGCATTTTGGTTGCTCAGCAACCAACTATGTGATCTTGATTTGTATTTTTTTTTGCCATAAACCAGTATTTACTTTCAGTTTCTGGCAAAAAAACCAAACACCCATTGTGGACAATGGATTCACTTAACAACTGCTACGTTTGCTTTACAACTGCTGTGTTTGCTTAAATTGTCCACTGCAAAAACAGTCATAAAATCAGGAGTGGTCCCATGATGGACAGATTCTGGAATTTCCAGTTCTTCACATAAAACCAGTAGTAGAGAAATACCTCATCTGAATATGCCATAGTTTCTATTCAGAAGGCATATGTTTCCTATTTAGTGGCAAAGCATATGTTTTGCATGAAACAATCTTATCTTTATGACCCAACATCTTTTGGTTAAGACTGAGAAAGATCCTTGTCTAAAACCTTAGAGATCTATTATCAGTAAACAAATACTGTAGACAATATTTAGCTAGAAAAGCTCAACAGTCTGATTCCATATAAAAACACTTTCTAACGTTTCCAATTTCCTCGAAGAAATTTACTCATTTTTCAATCCATTATTTTAAAAAGAAATATAGAAACAAGCAGATATAACTAGACATTTTCTCTGACAAAATCTGAAGTTACTTAAAATTATTATGATCGTTTTAGACCATATTACTAGACTCAGAAGTATCACCTAATTACCGTATAGCAGTATGGTCTGAAGTACCTATAATCCTATGCCTATTTATTCAAAAGTCAAATCTCACTGAGTTCAATGGGACTTACTTACCAAATAGTCATTTATTTTATTATTGCTCAAGTGGAGATTTTTAGTGGATAACAACAGACTCTGTGAATGCAGAGAGACGCAGATCCTTCCTACCTGCCGGTATGTCAGCTTTTACCAGAAACATGTACTGACAATTACTTATTTGGTCAACAATGAAGCCAAGAAGGTTGCTTCATTTTGCCTCTCTAAAGTTTGATTTGGACACAGAAGAAGAACTGTCAAAGAACCGAGGTAATCAGGAGATTCAGGTAGTTCAAATAAGTATAAAGATTTTATTGCAAACTTCAGCTCTCTACAAGAATCTGATCAACCAGTGTTCACTGGAAATGAGTGGGAAAAGCATTCAAGGTGGGCTGTACTTAGATCTCTTGTAGGCGCACAGGGACTTGTCACTTATGATGCGTTTGACCCCTTCCTCAGGCTCAGCCTGGTCATCTTCTACAAGATGATCATTCAATGTTACTCAAAAGTTTGTGAACCCTTTTGAATTTTCAATATTTCTGCATAAATAAAACCTAAAGTGTGATCTATTCTCCATATAAGTCCATATAAACCTAGATAAAGAGAGGCCAATTAAATAAATGAGTCAGAAACATGTGTTGGAAGGGGCCATTTTATCCTCCCTTCATCCAAAGTTAATATTTTTGTTTTTATGCTATTTATTATTGTGACTTTTGAGATTTTTATTGGTTTTATATTGACTTGTTTTATTTATTATAATGCGCCACCCAGAGTCCCCTTTGGGAGAGATGGGAGGCTATATCAATTTGATAAATAAATTATATGTTCATTTATTTATTGAGAATGATCCAAAATTGCATATGTATTTGTGAGACAAATGTACATATCTTTGCTTTCAGTGAGCATCCCCCACCTTTGGCAGCAATAACTAATTAAATGTTTCCGATAGCTGTGAATAATCTGGCACATCTCTTAGAGGAATTTGAGCCCATTCCTCCTTACAACACAGCTTCAACTCATGTTGATGAGCTTCTTCATATGAACTACCTGCTTCAAGTCCTTCCATAACATTTCTATAGGATTAAGGTCAGAACCATTGCAAAACATTAACTGTATTTTGCTTTAACTATTCTTTAATCATCCGACTTGTGTATTTTGGGTCACTGCCCTGTTGCATGACCCACTTTCTCTTGAGCTTCAGTTCACAGACAGATATCTTGACATTTCCCTGTAGAATTTGCTGGTACAATTTAGAACACTTAGTTCTATCAATAATGGCAAGCCATCCTGCTCCAGAGGCAGCAAAGCCGCCCAAACCAAGATACAGCCAACACCATATCCTGGAATGCAGTGTCTGCCTTTTGCCAAATATAATGCTTTTTATTCAAGCCAAAAGTTCTATTTTGGTCTGATTTCTCTACAAAATATTCTTTCAGTAGTTTTCTGGCTTATCCATGTGGTCTTTCATAAACTATAGATGGGTAGCAATGTTCTTTTTGGAGTAGTATTTTTTCCTTGCAGCCCTGCCATGCACACTTTTGTTGTTCAGTGTTCTCCTGATGGGTGATCTCATGAACACTGGCATTCACCAATGCAAGAGATGTTAGTTCTTTAGAAACTACGCTGAGATTCTTCAAGATCTTGCTCTTAGTGTGATCTTGGTTGGTCAATCATTCCTGGGGAGAATAACATTGGTGCTAAATTACCCACCATTTATATATGAACTCTCTGGCAGTGGACTAGTGGAGTCCAACCTCTTTGAAAATGGTTTCCAACAGTTATCAACAACTGGTTTTTTGGAGATCTTCAGAAATTTCCTTTGTTAGAGCCATGACATACCTTCCAATCCCTGTGTTGTGAAGATTAGACTTTGATAGTGAATACCCAGAAATCTGTTCTTTAAATAAGGCAGGACCTTGCACACTTACACCTAATTGTCATCTTACTGAAACACGCTACTCTAATTTTTCCTTCAAATGAACTGATAAACCTAGCAGTTCACATATTTTTGCCACAAATAAATATATAGCTTTGGATAGTTCTTTTTTTCAACAAATAAAGGAATGAATATAATGCTTTTGATTCATTTGTTTAACTTTGTTTCTCTTTATCTCTTATCCACTCTCTTTTAGGACATGTGGAGAACAGATGACATTTTTGATCAGGGATGTCAAACTCGCATCATCACGGCGGCATCACGTAACATATTGTGACTTTTTTTCCTTTGCTAAACTGGGCGTGGGCATCGCCAGTGTGTGATGCATCCAGCCCACAAATTTGGCATCCGTTTTAGATTGTCACTTAAACTTATATATCGCTCCGTGGTGCTTTACAGCCCCCTCTAAGTGGTTTACACAGTCAGCCTATAGGCCCCAACAATCTGGGTTTTCATTTTACCGACCTTGGAAGGATGGAAGGCTGAGTCAACCTTGAGCCCCTCAGAACAGAGATATTGATGAGAAAAAGATTTCAAGGAAGTGCTGTGAACTATTTGAATAACATGCCTCTGGCATTGAGCACCAGGTTGCCAGCACAATCATATTGCTTTTGAGGTGTACCAGAGCAAAATAGCTTACTTTCTTGCTATCTCTCTCTGGAATCTCTCTATTCTGCAAGGGAGAAAAAAAGAAAAAACACAGGCCAGCACAGTACAATGCCTGCTGACTAAAATGGCAATTACATCACTGAAGAATTCTGTGAAAGTCATAAATGGGTTGTAAAGTTATTTTTTCAGCACTGCTATAACTTTGAGTACTCGCTGAATAAATGCTATATAAACAAGGACTACCTACACAAAGTTATATTATGTTAGGGAAAACTGTTCTAAAAAAACTAAATACATTTGATATGTTGCAAAAAAAACCAAAACCCAACACCTATACATGCATTTGAAATGTACATGAAAATGCATCAAAAATAGAACTGTGTTTCTAAATAATACTCTGAGAAAGCAAAACTGATTATTCAAAAATTGAAAAATTCAGAAAAAAAAACCAAATGACATATTTACAAAAATCAATCTGAGAATAACTAGAGTTTACAAATTTGCTTATCTATATCATCCATATGGTTTCTTTGCTGTCTAATGAAGTACAGGTCAGAATTTGGATAAATATAAATTGATAAGATAGAAAATATCACAAACAGCATTAGAAAGAAAGCCATAATTGCAAGTACCCTTGTTATTCAAAGTGTAATAGAGATGCTATATAGATCACAATTAACAAAAACTTCAGTCATTTTGTAACAGTAAATTCCATTACCGTATTTTTCGGACTATAAGACGCACTGGAGTATAAGACACACCAAGATTTCGAAGAGGTAAACATGAAAAAAAAGTTTTTGCCCTCCCCGGCCCCAAGGAGCACTCTGCAGGCCTCCCTAACCCTCTGCACTTCCCGTTTTTGTGAAAAACGGGAACATTTTTCACAAAAATGGGATGTGTAGAGGGTTAGGGAGGCCTGCAGAGTGCTCCTGGGGGCCGGGGAGGGCAAAAATGCAACGCGTGGAGGACTTGGGAGGCCAAAACTGGGGCCTGCAAAGGGTTTGGGAGGCCTGCAGAGTGCCTTGGGGGGCTGGGAGGGGCAAAAACGTGATGCGTGTGGAATTTGGGAGGCCAAAAATGGGAGTGTTTTTTTTTTGCAAAAACAGGCCTGTTTTTTGCAAAAATGAGTGCTCTTGGCAGCTGGGGAGGGCAAAAATGGCCTCTCTTTTGGCCTCCCAAACCCCCCATGTGTCGTGTCCCCAGCCCCCAGGAGGACTCCCCAGCCGCCAGGAGGACTCTGCAGGCCTCCCAAACCATCTGCGTGCCCAATTTTTGTGAAAAATAGGCCTGTTTTTGGCAAAAACGGGACACATGGTTTTCAGAAGGCCAAAAATGGCTGTATTTGGTGTATGAGACGCACCAACATTTCCACCCTCCATATTCTGGCCTATAAATTACTCCTATGTTATGAGATCCAGTAGAAGAATTTCATCCTTTGTCATTCTGCAATATTAAAGTACCTAAGCTTATAAACAAGGAACCCAAGTCTATTGTAAATTCCAACACCAGTATCAATCTTCCAAAAATTTCTCAGAAAGTGAATCAGGATTTCTCAGGCAATATAGTATTTCTCAAGCTACATCAAGTAGAGCCTTATACCAAAATTCCAATAGAAAGGCCAATATATACGCCAGCTACTTGGTTAAGTTCACTACAAAATGGCTTTCCAGTTGCTACTGAAGTCGAGCATTCATTTCATCCAGTCAATATAGTCAACACTGAGAGTCAATGGAACTCTAATCCAACATGTATCATTCTTGTTCTATGTTATCAGATATGGTCCCATATTAACCATATCAAAATGGTCCCATATTAATCTGAAATATGACCATTTTCAGTACACTGATGGTGTTCAGAGATGGTGCTCCAAAGATAATTTGTTTATAGTTTTGGGGGAGTTCATCCTGTCTTCTCTGGGGACAAAATCTGCGGTAGCTCGGGAATTCATGGCCATTGTAATAGCCATAGACCCAATCTAGATCACTGAAGACTCAACACACAATTGTGTCATACACTGGATTTAGGTTTGTTTGTTTGTTTGTTTTTGTCAGGATAGTTGTAATGTGATCTGAATTACCATCACCTGTCTATCATGGTCAGATCACTTTATGATTGCCTTGGAATGCTCTGGTGCTACTCCCTGTCACAGGAAGGCAGGACTTATTTGATTGGTCCATCACAGGCAACTGATGGACTCTACTGGGTTTCAGAGAGAGCTGAAAGTTTAGTGCATGCTCCAATTTAGGCAACACCTGGAATAAGAGAACACACCTATGCACTCTATCTCCCCTTATGGTTGCCATAAGGGTTCCCTTGATTTTTTAAGGAATTGAGGGAGGTGAAATGAGAGAAGAATGGAGAACAAAAAGGGATGAACCCAACTGACCAGGAGCTAAAGCCACTATTAAAAGTGGTACCTTAGATTGATAATGGACAATCGGTAAATGTCAATATTTCTCTACTCTTATTGCTTATAGAGAAAGCTATCAAGCAACATTGTTTAAATTGACATGGTCCCTTGTAGGAAATGTTGAGCTGGAGGTCCAGCTGCAGGCCACTCTGAGGTATATGTTACCTGCTGAAGAGCCTTGGTACTACAGTGGTTTAAAGCACCCTGTTATTAACACAGCTGCCTGCAATTTACTGCTGGTTCGAATCTCTCCAAGGCTCAAGGTCGACTCAACCTTCCATCCTTTCTAAGGTAGGTTAAATGAGGACCCAGTTTGTGGGGGCAATAAGCTGACTTTGTATAAATATACAAAAGTATGAAGGCTATTGCTTAACGCACTGTAAGCCGCCCTGAGTCTCCGGAGAAGGGCGGCATATAAATCAAATTAAAAAAAAAAAAATCACTCAGATTCTCTACAAATTGGACTCTGGCCATAAAGCAGGTCCCATAGAGGCCCGCATAAAGTTGATTATCTGGAATGGCTTATCTGTATTATATTACAAATATTTCAAATAATATTTAAGAGACAAGGCTATGAAATCAAAATATTACATTTTTTTTCTACTTGATACCATCTATTTAAGATTAACAGAACATTTTTTAAAAATTGACTATCCGAGCCCAGCAAGTACTGTAAAAACATCTAGAAATGAGAAACATTCAAATGACTTTAACTTCAGTTCATACATATTTGGGGACCTAGGGCAGGAATTAACATTCAAAATGCTTGCATACATTTATACTCACAAGCTGCCACATGACACAGGAATTCCTAATTTATTTAAAAACAATTTATTTAAAATTGATACTGTCTTATATAGTTCTTTTAAGAAGAGCCAATGAGTTGCTGTGATTATAGTTTAGCTAAGCCTAAGCAAGCTCAGATTTAAATTCCCACTCAACCAGGGAGCTCACTTGGATAACCCTTATGCCAGCCAAACTCTAGAACTACTAAGCAGAAGTGACAGAGAGTTTATATGGCTAGCTTTGATCTCCTTGCAGGAAAAATGGGAAATAAGTATCTAATCTTTAAAAATACACTTTGGGATTTCTTATGCCCAGACTGCAATTGGTTCTCCTTATAAATAAAACCTAAAATTAAGTACTCAACTATAGCTTGAAGACAAACATACTGCTTAAATATCAGTAGCTGGAGGCGAAATTTTCTTGGTAGCCAGGAGCAAGGTTTCTAAACTAACAAGCAATAGACCTGTTTTACTGAAGTACGAAAAATGTAGTTTTACCACTTAAGTTTTAGATGACTGAAAACTAGCATCTAGTGCTAGTGATACACTAGTGAACACTAATTGGCAGCGATACCGAGGCCCTCTACACTATAGGCCTAAGGAGAGAGGGTTGAAACTAAAATTATTGGAGCACAATCAAATCCCTACAGTGCCAGCATTCTGCATCTAACCCCAGAAGAAAAAGATGCAAACCAAAGGAGTGCAGCTAGACTATTGGGGAAAGCTCACAGGCCTTCTGAGTGATAGACTACCCAAATGTTCCTCCATGTCCTCTAAATGACATTCACTAGCATTTTCTCCTCCCCTTCATGGGGTAAAGCTCTAGCTAAGGGACGTGTTCTGAAAGTCTCAGAAAGGCTCCAGAAGGGAGGGCAAAATGCTGAATGCTCAGAATGCTGGTTCCTCTAGAGGGGAAATCCCTTGACACATTAGAGGAACAGATTTTAAATCTGGCAAAACGATTACCAATACCAGCATTCTTGTGACCAATCCCCACCCTGCCACACCTGGGAGGCCCGGCTGACTCCCCAGTGGTCCTCTTATAACAACCTGCGTTATTGCTTAACAACCACACCTGCGAGAGCTGGGTTTGCAGTTGTTGAGCAGAGCGGTTACATGGCGTTTTGCTTAACCATTCCTTCACTCAGTGGCCAAGATTCTGGGCCCAATTGTGATCATATGGGGAGGACTTCCTATACCTATACCATACTACCTGTAGTGATTGAGAACAGTGAAAACTCACTATTCGTTTCAATGAAAGCTTTTTCCCCTTTAGCAACCTCTTTATTCTTTTTTTCAAGAGTATAAGCTTTTTCCTCATTTTAGAAGACAGTTTGTAACTCTGTTCTTTAAAAAAGGATTACGTATCCAAAATACAAAAGGCAACTGAAATTAATTTTTTTTTATCAAGGCCCTTTGAAGACAATCTCTTCTCTTTTTTTTTTTTTTGTCAGATTGTGCCCACACTCTTTATTTTTGGTTTTTTAATCTTTTGAAATATAGGCACCATGTGCCAGGGACTCAACCTGCAGCCTTTTACTTGTAAAATATATTCTGTGCCACCTAGCAATGGTTGTTGGTCTTTGCTTCTTGGCTATTTGTTTGCCAAGCACGTGAAATATAGAAGTGGGTTTGTAAAATCTTCCCCTTTGTTCTCTAACCGAAAGGTTAAAAACATGGTTGTCATTGCATTATCCCTGACTAGCAAATGCCAATGTTCTGAAAGGCTCAGAATGCTTGTATTCACTAGTATTTTTGCCAGATTTGAGGTCCGTTCTTCCAGTGTGCAGGAGGATTTCAAACACCTAACATCCAACATTCTCTCCATTTGTAATGTTCCCTGACGGCTTCCCCAGTGACTTTTTGGGGAAGTCATAGTGAAGATGGCAAATGGAAATCACATAATCACAGGGCTCTTGGCAGCCAGTTATATGTGAGCAGGTTCTGAAGCACCCAAAGTGTGTTTCTGTGATAGCATGACTTTTTATGATGATCAGAAGTTCTTTATGAGCCATAAATCACTTGTTCTAGGCTGTTGTAACTG